TTGAAAATTGTTAAAAAAATACTTTATTTGATACTACATATTGATACTTGTTTTTCTTGACTATTCCTTGAAACTTTTCAATAGTTGTAAAAGACTTTTTAATCCCTCTAGATAATTATTATCAGGGCCCTGCTCATGGGTTTCTCCGGTATAGGCATGCGCAAAGTCGATCATGTGGACACGTGACCACAGTGATGGATCAATCTGTCGAGAAACAAAAAAAAAAAATACAATTTCAGAAAAATTAAAAACATTACTAAGGTACTGCGTTAGAATTTTAACTTACATTTTTACCCAGCTGCTCACAATCATAGCTAAGTAACACTGAGCTTGAGTATAAGTGAACATTGTTCTGTTGTGACATGATGTCAAATATTTTTTGGATTTCAGCAATATATACATCTACTGCCATTAATGCACATTTTGGTTTGTGCAAATTTAAGAAAATTGAAAATGCTGTCCAATCCCAACACACAAAAGGGTATTAGAATGGAAGGTTTTTGCACACATTTCAAATGAATCACTTCATATAAATTCCCATTACCATTTTTCACGGTATCGCCATTTAGAGATTTCCCGTAATTTTTGTCAAATTTTTTTAGGTGATTACTTATTGAATCATACACTTGAAAACCAGGAATAGAAAACCCTAGCTGCTTTTTGCATTCAACATATTTTCTCTAAAAGCAGAAAAACAATCAAATGCTTTAGGATCACGGACAAATGCAATGAAAATGGCCTTATAGATGTAGAACTCTCTGGGTGATATTGACTAACTTCCTCTGATTCCCGCTTTGAGGCTGTGGCAAATGGGTCCCATGTCTGTTTTCCAATCTTAATGTCCATTACACATGGCTTGCAGAAGGTGCCAGTAACATCTTCTAGAATTATTACTTTGCCATCTGAAATTAAAAGTGTTACAATATTTTTTTAAATCATTTTCTAGAACACATTACTGGGTAGAACAACTCACCATAAGATTCAATTTTAACATGGGAAATTCCATAATACTTTGGAATGAATGGCTGAAGGGCTGCATGTGGTGCTCCAGCTAACCCTTCATAAAATTGTATTTCAGTCTTTGCTTGAACGGGTTTCAACATAGGCTTTAAGACATACCCGTCCTTATGTTTTAGCATTCCTGTCATAAACAAATTAAAGTTGAATTTATTTATTTTTTGTGATACATTTTGCAAACATTATTACAATAGCTGAAGAGCTTCAAACCTAAAGACCTAATAAAGATCATGTAGGATGATCTGATTGGCTAGAATATATAATGATATTAAAGAAATCTTTCACCATGGAAAAACTTACCTGGCGATCGCTTGTCTTTATCTTTGGCATGGCCAGCAACTTGTGAGACTAGAGGTTCTACATCTTGAGGTAAAATAAGTGGAATTGAGGAGGCCATTATCTACTTATAAGCCTGTTACTCTGGAAATACCTATAGCTGATTTTATTTGGTGTATTACAGAAAATTCTACTTTTAAAATATGAGCTCTAAAAATGGTAAATGGTAAATCAAGCAATTCTACAGAATTATTGCAAGTAGAAAAAAATAAACCTTACCAGGCTCACGCGTATTCACACCACTGGTACAAATAATGTGTGGAGTTTTTTTCCCAGATCAACACCTGAAACAAGAAACAGGGCAGGAAATGGTTAGCTCAATAGTTAATGCAACCAGACTTGACTTTAAGAACCAGGTTCACATAAACTGCTCCCCATGAATGAAAACTTCCAGAATTGTGAAAAATGATTCTACTGCTGGCTGACATCCAATAATTCCATATGTATTATTTTAATGTTTAAATGGGCTACACACACAGGGAGACATGAGTAAGGTTGTGAGTAGAGAAATAATGAAAAGAAAGATAAAAATGTATCAATATTTATTTAAATAAGAATAGAGAGGCTATTAGGTTTACTAAACAAAATTCCAAAGCACATGTCCCACACTTGGACTGTACTATGGACATCAACAGGTACTTGAGAGACTTATTGTTTGGTGTGCTTTTCCCAGTCAAGCCATCCTCCAGCATAATGACGTGAACTGCAATGAAAATTATTGGATTAGATTATGCAGTGAATAGCAACACACTTAAAGATAAGAGTATTTATTTTAAAAGGCAAAATCACTCACTTGGCAAACCCTAGAGCCAATGCTTTATCTAAAGCTGTATTGCTTCTTTTTCCTGAGCGGCATGAGAAGACAAGAGGGGCATCCTGTGCTGGCTTTTCAATGCCATATTTTTCTTTAAAGGCAGCAGCATCCAGATTGAGAGCGTTCGGAACATCTCCCACTAAAGATTGGAAAAGAAAATTAAGAATAGTGATAAAATTAGCTGCAACTGTAAAAGTAAAGTAGAATGGAAAATTGATTTTAATTTGTATTTACATGGAATGTGCGTGCTACCAGGTAGCTTTCCAGTCTCTTGGATTTCTGCTGGTTCTCTGACGTCAATGAGAATGATTTCATTCTTAGATGATAGTTTGACAATGTCATCGTAGGTTAAATCACGACCCATTGTCGAAGCAACTGAGCCCATTGACCGTGCAAGAAAAAGTTGGTTTCCTCTTGATATCGCAACAAGTTCTGGAACATACAAGAGAAATGATCTTAGAATAAAAATTAAATATTACTAATGATGAAAATATGAAGGGTATGCTTACCATTGGGATATGGTTTTTAAATAATAAAATATCATGATATTCAATTGTAACATTTAAAAAAACGAAATGATTTGGATTTAAATATCTAAACATTTACTCCGTTCTTTTAGAACAGCATTGAAGAGTGAGTCTAGTCAAAACGGATTTCAACTGACAGGACCGGTGTCACGCGATCAACAGTGCCCCGTCAAAGCCCTTAGAACCTTCCCCCCCAGCAAGTGTAAAGTAATAGTGTAACCAAAGTATAAATACACAAATAACTAAAATAAACAGTGAACCGCAATCTTAGCCTCTGATTTGTGCTGCATAGCTGTCAAGGGCTTAACTTACTTCGAGTGCAAAGGGTGGTGGTCACGCTGCGAGGACTGTCACGGGATAACGCCGAGGAGGCTCTGGGCGCTGCGTAGATCAATAACCTGCGGAGCATACTTTATGAGCACCTAGCACCAGCGGCGGCCTAGAGTTCGACTTGTGTGTGTGACTGGGCTGGACGACTAGACTGGACTTATCACCCTCCCCCCTCCCCACCCCCTCTCCCTGTCTCTCCGATACGAAAAATTTCCAGGAGAATAGTCCTGCTGAAAACTCACCGACTTCCCGTTTTTTTGAAGTTTGTTTGTCACCCTTGCACGGAAAACAAAATCGCAGAGTATACGCCGAATGGTTCCATTTTAATCACTGAAGAATAAAACGATAAAACTTACAAACTGGGAATCTAGAAAAACAAGACACTTGAAGTTGCAGCACTGAGCTTCTCATACTCAGACGCTGCTGTCCCCAGCGCGCGGGGTATCGCCGTCTAGGGCCGGGGTAGGCAGGCCGCAGCGCCGCCGAGCCATGCGGGCCGGCCTGCCTGCGGGGCGTTCCCCGCCGTGCAGCGCTCCAAGCGGAGGGCCGGCGGAGCTGGCAGCCGGCCGGCGCCAGGCAGTCAAGGCTGGCAGCCAGCGGGCGACCGGCTGCCCCGACAGGCGGCGGGCAGGGCAGGCAGGCAGAGGCAGGCAGGGCTGGCGCTGGGCTGGCTGCTGGCTGGCACGCTGGCAGTTGCTGTCCGACCAGCGCCGTTCACGGCTGCCGCGACGCGCGCTCCGGGTCGAGCCGAACGAGACCCCCCGCGAGCTCCGGCCCCGACCGGCGTCGTGCGCCCCGGGGACACCGGTTGCTCGCCATGGCGGAGTAGTGTGCGCGTGTGCCCAGTGTGGATGTGTCGAGTGTGTGTCATGTGTGAGGAGTAGAGTGAGACAGCCCGCGCGATGCCGTTCGCGCTCCGGAAGGTGCAGCCCGAGTACGTGAGCCGGGCGCGGCTGCACGACCAGGATGGCCGGCCCCTGGTCCAGGACGACGAGCTGGAGGCCGTGTTCAACCACACGTTGTGCCAGGCCATCCGGCAGCTGTCGTCGCTGCTGGAGGCCGCCGACGACATGTTCGCCGGCCTCACCAAGGAGATGGCCGGCGTCACCACCCGGGCCGGCGCGCTGCAGGAGCGCATCAAGAAGGTCCAGGATCTCGTCGACGCCGAGGACCCCAGGATCGTCCCCGTCCGTAAGTGTCACCTAGGTGTCACCGGGGTGGGCGGGGGAGGGCGGGCCCGACCCCTAACGAGGGGTCCTCAGTCGGGGAGGTTGTTGGAGCCGACCGGGGGAGTCATCGCTATAAACAACAGGTCCTTGCCGTCAGCCCAGCCGGCAGCAACGGCTGGGTTGCGAAGTTGTCTGGTGTCACCCTGTTTGCAAAGTTTGGGGCTGTACCCGCCGCGGCCATGGACGGCCCTTACGGCCCTTCTTTGTCCCGAGAAAGTTACTGGGCGCTGGGCCCCCGCCGCCCCCGCAGCCCCCGCCGGCGCAGGGGCGGAGCAGAGGGGCCATGTCCGGCACCAGCCCGGTCATGTTTTTGTTTTGGCGGGAGCCCGGCTCGGCTCGGCTCGGCTCGGCCAGGCCGCGGTCGCGAACATGGCCCGGCTGAGGTCGCCCGCTGCTCGACTCGGCTCGGCTCGAACCGGTAATGAGAAAGAAAAGGGATGCTCGGTGCGCGCTATTGTCGGGGGGTGAGTGGCCTGGCCGGGTCGAGGACTGCTTCGGACTGGATGGACTCCCCGAGGAGCCCGAGGAGCAGCGGCGCGGCGAGGACGAGCACCTGGGCACTGGGCACGGCAGGCGCGGCAGGCGCGGCAAGTCAGGGTGACCGCCGTGCTCTGGTGGGCGCGCTGTGCCGTGCCGTGCTGGGCGCTGGGCTCACGGTGGGTCTCGCGGCCACCGCGACCTTGACGGGACGGACGGGCCCAGCCGAAACAACCCGTCCGTCAACGTCAACGCGAGGAAGAGAAACTACTCTGTCGGAGCGGAGCGGACCGTCCGAAAAGAGAAAAGCAAGGGCGTCCGAACACATTGGGGCGAGACGGCGGTTGACAGGTGTGGCTGACGGTTGACTGGCCGCGGCGGTGGTGGCGTTGGACTGGTTGCTGTTGTTGTTACGCGGCGGTGCAGCTGGCGCAGCTGCAGCTGCGGGGCTCCCGTCCTGCGTTCAAGTTCCTCTGTGACAAGATGCGGAACTGACCGTTGTTGTGGCCTCGCTGCCGGGCGGGGGGGGGGGGGTATAACTAACGATACCGAGTGTCGTGCGGGTGCTCGCTGGAGGCTCCTGTCGGCTTCGCTCTCCACCAAGCACCGGCGGCCCGGCCCTGCCCGGCGCACACTCCAGCACACCGGGCTGCAGTCTGACAACACCGCACCTCCGCGAGCCACTGCGCCGCGCCACGCCGCGCGTCTCCTGGCCGCGCCGGTGTACTGTACTGGTGTGTGTGGTGGAGGGCACCTGGAGAGAGACGGGCAGAGGGTGGATCACTCTGGCGTGGATCACTCTGGCGTGGATCACTCTGGCGTGGATCACTCTGGTGTGGATCACTCTGGCTGTTGATCACTCTGGCTGTGGATCACTCGCTGTGGATCACTCTGGCTGTGGATCACTCTGGCTGTGGATCACTCTGG